GGGAAAGAATAACATACCTGTCTCTCAGTTCCAAGAAACCCCGGCATTAGAAAATCAAAAAGGGACCACAAATCCATAACGTTATTCTGCAACAAAAGGTAAAGCCATTATTCAGGGACACTGGTGTACTTTCAACTTTTTGCTAGTTTTTTATATCTAACAAACCTGGATGGGCGTTCCACTCAGTATCAAGCGGTGCTGAGCTTTCAATTGCTTCACTGCGTGTGTGATTTTAGATTTTGCGTTCTTGATGATATGCCCTTCGTCTAAGATACAATAATTCCAGAGAATCTTTCCGAGATAATCAATGTCTTTACGAACAACATCATATGAGGTTATGATTACATTATGCTTATCAAAATGTTCTCTAAGAGAAATGCGGTCTTGAGCAGAACCAACATATTGCAGAGAAGATATTATTGAAACATCGATATACTTCTCTATCTCAAATGCCCAGTGTCCAACAAGGGTTGATGGGCAAATAATTAAAGATGATGAAAGACCTTCACTGCTATTTGAAGTACAATGCTCTACTACATCAGAAGCCACAATAGCTGATGCTTGAAGTGTTTTACCAAGCCCCATGTCATCACATAATATTCCATGAAGCTTGAATCGTTTCAAGAAAGCCAACCAATTTATACCTTCTTGTTGGTACCTGAACAAATTATAACAGCTTAGAACCACAATGTAAATTGGGTGTCACTATGGGTGTGGGTGCGGGTGGGTGTGTGTATTTGTTTGTTCCTTTCCCACCAAAGAAACACATAGATCAAGAAGGGAGAAATTAAACTCAATTAGCATGAATAACAAGTCTAGAAAATATGAAGAAAAAAAGTTGGTTCTAATTAACTACTAAATACACTGAAGTACTTGACAATTAACCTGAATTTTTTTTTTTATAAGAAACGAGCATTTTATTAATAATGAAAATAAAAACACCAGAGGACAAGTGGTCCTCAAACCAAATAAAACAGGCAAAACCAAAAGAACCTAACAAATAAAATCCACAAAAACTACAACAGGGACAACATGACTGTAACAAAATTAAGTCCCGTCCCCTTAGGAGATCCGAGAATGAAAAAGCCTTGAATTATTTATCTTGTGAAGTCCACAATGCCACCCAGTAAATTATCTTGAAGTTGGAAAGCAACTCTAGGATTTTCGAG